AGACAGAGCCTCAAGCTATTGCCCTGGGTAGAGTGCTGTAGCATCACAGCTCACAGCAACCTCAAATTCCTGGGTTCAAGCAATTCTCCTGCCTCTGCCTCCCAAGTAGCTGGGACTACAGGTGCCCGCCACGATGCCTGGCTATTTTTTGGGTTGTAGCCGTCATTGTTTGGCGGGCCCAGGCTGGATTCGAACCCGCCAGCTCAGGTGTATGTGGCTGGCACCTTAGCCACTTGAGCCACAGGCGCTGAGCTCCATGTTTTGTTTTTTGATAACTCTCCATTCCATTCTACCCCCAGCCCCGGCACTCACCATTTTACTTTCTGCCTGTCTGAATTTGAGTGCTCTGAGTACCTCATATAAGTGAAATCTTACTGTTTTTGTCCTTTAATGTCTGGCTTATTTACTTAGCATAACATCATTGAGGTTCATCTGTGTTGTAGCATGTGTCCGAATTTTCTTCTTCCTTTTTTTTTTTTTTTGAGACATGGTCTCACATCATCACCCTCGGTAGAGTGCTGTGGCATCCTAGCTCACGGCAACCTCAAATTCTTGGGCTCAAGTTATCCTCTTGCCTCCGCCTCCCAAGTAGCTGGGACTATAGGTGCCTGGCACAATGCCCGGCTATTTTTAGAGAGTAGGTCTAGCTCTTGTTCAGACTGGTCTCCAACCTGTGAGATCAAGTGATCCACTGGCCTCAGCCTCCCAGAGTGTTAGGATTACAGGTGTGAGCCACTGCTCCCAGTCCAATTTCCTTCTTCTTCTTCTTTTTTTTTTTTTTTTTTAGGGGAAACAGTATTTAATTGTACGTAAGTCCATGAGATGGTTTTTGAGTTTCCTTCAGCTCCAAGCTCATTGGATTCTGAATGCCAGGTCTCTACTGTCCCTGGGGCTGCTTGGTGAGGTGATTGGGGGTCCTGGCTTCATGAAGACTGTTCTTTCTGCTTGTGTCACCAGACACCCTTCTCTGAACCCAGTGGCCCTGGGGAGAGCCTTGGGAGGATGCCTGGGAATGAAAGGCTTTGGCTAAATACCTGCTCCCTTCATTTGGGGCTCCAGAGGGGCCAATGTTGAGCAGGGTGACAGACTTAATGACAGTCTCTTAGGGGCTTGGGTGTCCAGATGAAATGGGCCTTGCTGGAGGCCTGGCTTGATTACAGGGAGCCCTGCACTTCCCCTCCCATGGGGCCCAGAACAGGGCAGGGCAGGGCTGCCAGTAAGCCCCACACACCCAGCTGTTCTGGAGCAGCTGCGGATGTAGGCAGGACTGAGGAATTTGAGGTAGCAGCTGTCAAAATTCACTGGATTTGGGGTCTGGTGAAGATAATCATTTCTTGCGTGGTTCTCATGTGGGGGCAATTAGTAATAACAGGCACTGTTAGTTGAAGTTCTAATATGTTCACCATCGGCCAGGCACTGGTCAGAGATTATCTCATTTAATTGTCACATGCCCCTAGAATGTTGGTATTGTTGCCCCCATTTTACAGATGAGTAAGCTGAGATTTGAGGAGCCTTGCCTGGGTCCACATAGTTGGAAAGTGGCACAGCTACTTCATTTGTGCTGAAGGCTGACCTCTTATCCACAGATTTTGCAATTTATTTATTTATTTATTTATTTTTTGCAGTTTTTCGCCAGAGCTGGGTTTGAACCCACCACCTCCAGCATATGGGGCTGGCGCCTACTCCTTCGAGCCACAGGCGCCACCCGATTTTGCAATTTAGTGGCATTTTCTTTGGTGAGCTCCTTGGGGAGGGTGAGGGGAGCCAAGTGGTGGTGATCCACCTGCCTTCCCTATGCAGACCAGGGCAGCTCCTCTCATACGTGTTTAGGGTGCTGCTCTAAAACATCATGTGTAAGCCACTGTTTATCGTTTGGCCCATTTATCTTATAGACAGGGAAACAGGCCAAGAGAGGGCCTGGGAGCTATCCAGGGTCACTCTGACAGGGTCCGTGGCTGAGCTGGGATTAGAATTCAGGCTCCGACTCTCAGCCATGTGCTGTTTCCAGTGCCCACCTGGCCTTCTGGTTTTTGTACATGACCTGTACCCTGGAGCCTTCCCCAATGGGTCCACTGGGCCCAGATCCCCTCCTGCTGGACCCCTGCAGGCCTTGGCCAGTGGGTGAATGATTAATGGAGGGAGAAGCCGAGGTAGCAGGCAGAGAGTAGTGCACAGGCTGGATCTCAGTAGCTCCGCCCTGACTGCTGTGTAGCCTGAGCAGCTGCATTCTCTTCAGGCCTCAGTTTCCCCCCTTTACAATGAGAGGATATTGACAGCTTGGGGCTCCAGGCACTGAGCAGGGACGGATGAATGGTCCGGGCAGGATGTCATGAATGCATGGGGAGGAAGGGAGGAGCTGCTGCACCCTAGGAGGGCCCCAGACACCTGTCTGTGCCCTGTCCTGCTCCAGGAAACACCCCAGTTTCAGCCTCCCACACTCTCACTGCTCGCAGGGGACGCCGCTTGGCCTGAGCGTGTTCAAGCCTCAGATGACAGAGTTGCTGCCCTGGGGGGCTGGTGACTCTCCTGCCCTAATCCCAAGATATTCTCCTTGCTCCAGAAACAGTGTTGGCTTTACGGGAGCTTGGAGGAGGCTGAGCTCCCTATCTGGGCACTCACGTGGGCATTGGTCTGTTCTGCTCACCTGTGCTCACACACCTGACATGTACACATCCATACAAACCCACAGGCTGAGAGAGGCTCAGAGCACCTTTCCCCCCCAAAGCTTCTGGTAAGTTAAAAATGAAGAAAGGCCTAAAGAGGATGGTCACCACTGTGGTATGACGCCCACCCACCCACGCGCATATCTAATGCAATGCACCTGACAGACATGGAAGATAATTACAGGGATCATAAAATACATGAGTTCACAGTGCTGTGTGGTCTGTCAATGGTATGATGAAGATTCTGGTTTTTTTTTGAGACAGAGCCTCAAGCTATCCCCCTGGAAAGAGTGCTGTGGCTTCACAGCTCACAGCAACCTCCAACTCCTGGGCTCAAGTGAGTCTCCTGCCTCTGCCTCCCAAGTAGCTGGGACTACAGGCGCCCACCACAACGCTTGGCTATTTTTTGGTTGCAGCCATCATTGTTGTTTGGCGGGCCCAGGCTGGATTCGAACCCGCCACCTTAGGTGTATGTGGCTGGTGCCTTAGCCACTTGAGCCACAGGTGCCGAGCCAGGATTCTGTCTTTCCATCGGGCCCTGATTCTCTGGGGCTACACATCCAGCTCACTTTGAGTGTACATTATGTTATGAAAAGTTTCAAGTATCCAGAAAGGTGGAAAGAATTATACAGTGAACACCTGGGGTCTACAGTGAACCTCTTGCGGCATCTCCTTTATCACATATCCGCCCCTCTATCCGTTTCACCATCCACCCAGCCAGCCATCCCTTTCTCCTTTTTTTTCTCCTGGGAAGCAGGGGGGACAGCTGCGGGGGTCAGGTGGAGAGGAGGGGACAGGAGCACCCAGGTCTGGGTCCTTCCCAGAGCAGAAGTTCTCTTTCTCTTTGTTCATGTTTTTTTGGTGGGGGGGGACAGAGTTTCACTATGTCACTCTCGGTAGAGTGCCATGGTGTCATGGCTCACAGCAACCTCAAACTCTTGGGCTTAAGCAATTCTCTTGCCTCAGCCTCCCAAGTAGCTGGGATGACAGGCACCCGCCACAGTGCCCAGCTATTTTTTGTTGCAGTTGTTTAGCTAGCCTGGACTGGGTTCGAACCCGCCACCCTCAGTGTATGTGGCTGGCTCTGTAACCACTGTGCTATGGGCACTGAGCCCTCTTTGTTCATTTATACATCTCACTTTTTGGATGCATTTTCCAGCTTATGAATGTGAGGTCTGGGCCAAATGACACTCTTCTCTCTCCTCCTCCTCCATACTAACAGCCCCTGCTGCACATGCAGGCTCACCCACACCCCTGCACATAAAACTGACATATGCATACACCATTTGTGATATACTTACATCCCTAAATTCACACATGCACATGTCCACATGTCTCCACACATCAAACCTAATTCCTCCCTCCATCACCCACGTGTGTATTCACAGCAGACCCGG